CGTGAAGGCGTGCAAGAAAGCGCTGCTCACGGTGATGATGCCATTTGGTCCCGGCATCTTCAACTTGAGGTAGCTGTAGTTGGGGATCGCCATGAACTTGGTGTAGCATGGCCGCCCCAAGGTGGCGTTGTTGGATCCTGGGAAATCCACCACCTCGAAGGTAATTACCTCTGAGCGGAAGTTGGCCTTGTTGCCAAACGTGACGAGCAAATCGATTTGCCCAAGCAAGTATGCCTATGCACCTGGAATCACCCCGTGGAAGGGAGAACCCGCTAGGCGGAGCTCCGACCGGGGGATGCGCATGGCATTGAGGGTGTCGACGTAGAGGATGTTGAGGCCGCTGCCTCTGTCCATCAGTACCTTGGTAAGGCGCTTCTTGCGGACAATGGGATCGATGACGAGTGGGTAGCGTCCTGGCCTCGCGATGTGGGAGGGATGGTCCCTCTGATCGAAGGTGATCGGAGATTCCGACTAGTTGAGGAAGGAGGGGATGGCCGTCTTGGTGACGCATGCCTCCCTATAGCGCACCTTGTGCTGGCATTTGGTCCGGATGGCATCAGATCCGCCGAAGATCATGATGCACTCCTCAGGGTCGGGGAAGCCATCATCGTCCTTACCCGCCGTGCCCCCCTTCTTGGTCGCTGCCTCCTTGCCATCTCCTTCTTTTGGCCCACTGGCATGCCAGAGGAAACGTTTGAGGAGCTTGCAGTCCTTGTAGAGGTGTTTGATGGGGTAAGTGTGGTTGGTGCACGGGCCATCCATGAGTTTGTTGAAATGGTCAGGCAGGCCCTGTTGGGGCTGCTTGCCCGTGCGGTCAGCCACAACGACCAACGCGGTGTTGTCCGACCGGCGCTGATCCTTTTTGTTCTTCTTGCCCCTCTACATGGAGGGGCCCTCGTCTTGGTCCTCGCGCTTGGCCTTGCCCTTGTCCCGGCCTCCGTTGAAGACCGCTCTGACCGCCTCCTCACCAGAGGCTTGGTTCATGGCGACGTCGAGCAGGTCACGGGTGGTATAGGGCTTCAGGTAGCCAAGCTTGTGGATCAGGAACTCACAGGTCATCCCGGAGAGGAATGCGCTGATGACATCAACGTCAACGACATCGGACAGGGAGTTACATCGTTGGGAGAACCTGTGGATGTAATCCCGCAGGGACTCGCTGGGCTCCTGTTGGCAGCTCTTGAGGTCCCAGGAGTTCCCTAGGCGGACATATGTCCCCTAGAAGTTCCCGACAAAGACCCTTTTGAGGTTCGCCCAGTCGCGGATGTTGTCGTGTGGGAGGAATTCAAGCCATGCCCGAACATGTTCTCCGACACAGATGGGGAGATACTAAATGATGAAATAGTCATCATCCACCCCTACGGCTCGACAGGCAAGCCAGAAATCTTCGAGCCAAATGCCGGGGTTTGTCTCCTTGGTGTACTTGGTGATGTTGGTGGGCGGATGAAAACGCCGTGGGAACGACGCCCTCCGGATGCACCGGCCGAAGGCCAGTGGTCCCGGGCCCTTCGGACTAGGACTCTGGTTGTCCGGTCGGCGACCATGCCCAGGGCGCGTTTCATCGCTCCCCTCGATGGTCTGGCAGGGCCCACGTCGCTCGTCCTTGCCGCCGTCCGATGAGCATCATCATCGCGCCGGGCGTGATGCCGGTTGCTGATGACGCTGTGGGTGTCTTGGTTCGGATCGAGCCATTCACGTGGCGGCGGTCGGCGCGGAGCCTGCGCCGGGTCAGATTGCGGCGTAGCTGCGGCCTCCCGTGTCGCGCTTTGTGGCTGTAGCAGCGAGCGGATGGAGTGATCCGTCTGGTGCGTCCCAGCTCCCCCAATGGGATGAGAGGGCGCACGTTGGAGTCGAGATGTGGAGCTTTCCGCTTGTTGTACGGCGGCGGTTTCTACCAGCGCCCGAAGGTTCCGATAGATTGCTCGGTCCTGAGGATCGACGGGCTCGGGAACACTGCGCAGAAGCACTGCCGCAGCGGCGATGTTCTAGCTAGCTCGAGCAAACAGTGGGGGGTCGTTCCACTCGTTTATGATGTCACAATGAACCTGGCGGGCGCACCCCCGAGCGCCGCCAGTCGAACCATGAGTACGGGGCGCAGTGCGCTGTACTGAGCGCGCCGGCGTAGGTGGCGGCTGGCTATGCCGCCTCTGTCGTAGCTCCTCTGCATGACCTTGTGCAAGCGCGAGGGCCCCTGCACGTGGGTCCGGAGGGGTGTGAGTCTATACGAACTCCGCAACCACCTTGTGCCATAGCGCATTCCTGGGACGGACAGTGGCTAGGTGCCACGGCACCGATGCTGGAGCCATCGCTCCCAAACTCGGCGGTGTCAGCGTTTTTCGGAAGCCCCGGGCGTACGCGTCCACGGAAGACGTTAGGCCGTAGGGGAACCGGTCGTGCGGTGGCCATAGTACGAGCAACGCGGTCCCTCTGGATAATTGATGGAAAACAGTAAATAGCTAGTAAATAATAGAACGCATAACAGTGGAGTTTGAGCAGAGAGTTTGCTCGGAATGAAGCACAGATGCCGCGCCGTCGAAGTCGTCGTTTGTCCCGAAGCCGATGGAGGGCGCCCCTCCGATGGACGCCGGGATGATTGACTCCTCGCGGAGGCGCAGTACGCTGATCCGGTCGGCGACGAAGTCCAGGCTTCCGAAGAGGATGGCCTGGGATGGCTTAAAGACGGGTGGAACCCACATCCCAACAGGTGGGAACGTGGGGAACTCCAGTGAGCCAAAGCGAATCGTATCGCCTGAGCCCGCCATGGTGAAGGTGGCGAAAAAGTGGGCCATTCGATGACCAAAAATTGTTAAACGTACATCGTCTTCCCCATGGACGGCGCCAACTATCAGTGTAGAATGTGACCAACTAGTAAATATTTGTAGTTTTGCCGTACGTTGTGATTGGAGGTGGCCTAGCATTCAAAGACACATGATTTATACTAGTTCAGACAACGTGCCCTATGTCCAGTTTGGGTCGGTCGGTGACTTTATTCCTGAGCCCAGGTGCTTGAAGTCTGCAGTGGGGTTACAAACGAGAAGGAAAAAGATGTGGTGTACAAGAGGTCCGATCAGCTCCAGTCGGATGCGCTGGGAGCGACAGGAGCTACGCTATGAGCTAAGTGTTCAAGCGTGTGCTTGAGGTCCGAACCCGGCGGTTCTACGGTTGTGGACTAGAGAACTGATGAATCTAGAGAGTCTGAGCTACTTGAATTCTACCTATCTGTTGGAAGAGAGCACATCCTCTTTTATATATGAAGGAGATGGCTTTACAGGTGAGAGAAAGGAAGTACGTTGGTTGCTAAACCTTGTTGCCCACGCCAGTGGGTACAAGATAATGGTAGGCGCCCACAACACTGTTGGCGCCTACAACACTATCGATGTCACTGTAAAATGTCAGATGCATGTGGGAGGTTGCGTTGCCTTCTTCAGGAAGGGTAGATGTCGGCACCTGCAAAATACTGTTCGATGTCCAGAAGCATGTGAGGAGCTTCACCACGTTCACCTGGTATGGTAAATCCCGACGCCCACAACACTATTGATGCCCAGAGGCACATGGGGGGGGGCTTACCGTATGGGAGTTAACGGTGCCCACAATATTGTAGAGGAAATGTCGGTGCCTACAATACTGTTTGTGTCAGGGTAGTCGCAGAGTACTGTTCCTGCATGCGTACATGGTACGGTCCCTGGTATCCTGGTTTGACTTGTGTACCCTGACTTGCTGTCTCTGTTCATCCCTTGGTTCCTTCCGAGCGGACGTCTCTGATCGGATGGCCCCAGTCGGCTCTGGTTGTGCCGTCCGGAGAAGAGCGGTGAGCAGGGTTTCTGTGATCCCCGGTCGGAGACGCGGGGTCGTAGTTGGAGGTAGTGCCTGGGCCAGGCCTTCCGATCGGAGAGGCCATCCGGAGGCGGCTGGAGTCCGAAGCGAGCGCTCCGGTCGGAGAGGTGGCTGGAGGCCGAAGCGGGCGCTCCGGTTGGAGAGGCGGGCCGAAGAAGTCGACGAGCGGGCGCTGTTCCTCTTCGGCCAGTCCTTCCGGTCAGTGACTGGACTGCCCTTCCGGCCTGATGTTTTAGACTCTTGCGCCGGCCCATGAGTTGTGTGCTGCCTGTTTGGGCTGAGCCTTGGCCTGGAAGCCAGTCCCCGAGAGACCCCGGGTTTATGAACCCGACACATCGTCTCTGTTGTAAGCTTTCCCTGTTCAGAGTTCCAATTTATTACTAGGGAAACTCTGCTGAATTTTTTATAATAATCTCTAAAACTTAGCAAAATTTAGGTGCTGGTAGCCTCCGGTGGTGTTAATAGCCGGGGTGTTACACTCAGAGACAGAGGCAGTATTACTTTTACACGCAATATATATCGGAAGAAATAATTGAGATAGACAGTACTATCTACATCAGACTCCCATATTCGGTTCGGCTGATCTATATCCAAAGAAAAGCATGAAAACAAATATGAAGTTATGAACCCGACATGCCCCTTGCCATCAGATTTGGACAATCCAACAGTTATTTGTTTTCATGTGCATACTTCCCCAAGGACGCAGCCAAATAATCAATTCCCGGTAGCTGGCTACCAGCAAACATCTCGTGGATATGTGCTAGGAGCTTGCCTAGGACAAGATGATGAATAATGATAGCTTCCTAATGAAACCAATCTAAACCCTCTTGTTGGCTCTCGTGACCTCATCAATTAACAGCTTCTAGGAAAACACAATATGATACGCCTCAGGCGGTCAGGCCTCGGCACGCTGAATATTCCGGCGCCAACCAGGGAGCGCGAGATATTTCATCGTGGAATCCCCCTGCGTTGTTTCCTGCACAAGGCTACGGAACAAGCAATGCCTCTGATGTCGGCGATGACGAGACTCTGATATATACACGAATCTATTATTAGTTGATTAGTTCTATATGCACAGGGACTAGTAGATATGTACACATATATATCGCCCACACGAGTGTTCGTTCTTGGAGCAGTGCTGCACCAAGCTTCCAACACCGTAGGATACCATGCCTCGTGCCAGAACACTGCTGCTTCTGCTCCTTGTCGTCACTGTCTTCGCCGGGAGCTTCAGCGCCTCTGAATCCATCGGGGACGGAGGCAAGGTCAGACGGATAGATCATCGTTCCATCAGCAATTCCGCATGCATGATTTTGTCTACACGATCTGCATAGATCTTTGTAATTTTATCACATCTATTTGATCGTGATATATAAGCAGGTCTACGTCGTGTACCTGGGGCATCTACCGGCCAGCACGGATGGGTCAGAGCCTGAAGGTTTCTCTGCTGTAGAGTTTGCTCATCACGACCTGCTGAACCAGGTCCTCAACGACGGCAGGTCTAAAATTCTCTTTTCACCAGAGTGTAGCACCTGACCATTTCAGGACAAACCATGCTATATTTACTCCGTTGCTTTTTTGTGACCGTGCGTCCGTGCCAAGGCAAGTTTTAGCTATACTCCGTTTCAGCGTCCAGTTGGCGGCCGACTGCAGGTTTTTTTTTTTTTGGTCAGGCTATTAGCTATCATATAGTCGTCCTTATGCAACTGTACAGGAATAATTATTGTGTGCTATAGGAAGTGCTAAGTTTTTTGTAGCATCCCACACGCCTTTGTTTCGGAAAGGAAAAAAAAATGCGCATGCATGTACTTTTGTTTTTCTTTATTTCCTAATGAATACCGTGTATGTATATGTATCATCTCAAAAAAGAAACAATTGATTATTAATTTGTTCAAGTTTTATATTCTCATATTTTTATCAGAGAAAAGTAATTGGAAGTGTAAACCTATATACTATTTTGTCTTTTCCAGCTCTGCTTCAGACAGGATACTCCGTAGTTACAAGAGAAGCTTAAATGGCTTCGCTGCCAAGCTAAGTGAAGAAGAGGCGCATAAACTTTCTGGTTTGTGACAATTAACAAGCTTTTCCTTTCGTTCCTTCCATTTTGTGATTGTGCGCTGAGGATTGAGAGCTCTGGCTTTTCTACGTACCTGATATGTACCTAGAAAAATCAGAACGACTCTTTATAATTGAATGGTGGGAGTATGTTTCAAGGATGTAGAGACCACATTGCAAGATCAAGAGATAGCCAGGGATGGCAACAGGGCAGATTTGGATCAGGTAGAATCTCCACGCAACCGTACCAAAAACTTGAAACCATCCTAAACACATACTCGGGTGATACTCCACCCCCGCCACCAAACCCGGTGGACCCTTGAAACCCAACATATTGTAGTCAATGCAGAAAGAGCAATAAGGAATTTCTAGCAACATATGCATGATTTATATTACATATTCACATGTATAAACAAGAGGCAACACGCAACATACAATTTCATGACTCAACTAAGAACAAACTTAGGAGCTTACAGAAACAATTTAGTAATACAAGACATGAGTTTTGACTCAAAATGATTTATTTTGGGTCTTCATTGGGCATCCATTGTTGGAACCCAATATACTTGAAGTCAAACCCGATATGTATTAGGTCCCCAAACCTGAAATCTGTGGAGGGAAAATTGCCCCTGCATACGCACCCGCTGGAACCAAAATCCATGAGGCCCTGATCCAATACAACATCACTGCCATCCCTACGGATAACTGAACCCTAACATATCAACTTTTAATTTATATCATAGCATGCATGAATCTAGATTTATCTTATACAATATTCCTTACCTTTAGGCACGAATGGCATTGTCTCAGTCTTCCCAAGTAGGACCCTTAAGCCTTTGACTACAAGGTCTTGGGACTTCTTAGGCTTCCCTCAAACGCCCAAGGAAGAGCTACCACTACAGGGAGACATCATCATTGGTATGCTTGACACTGGTGTGTGGTCTGACTCGCCATCCTTCTCTGATGAAGGCTTTGGCCCACCGCCGAGCAGGTGGAAGGGTACATGCCACAACTTCACGTGCAACAAGTATGAAAAGGCATTTTCTTGTACTATCAAACCAATTAAAATTTGTTATTTGCGATGTCCCTTTATTTATTTTGTTAGTTATGTTTCTCATATTGGAGCTTTCATCGTTGTTATTTTTTGTTGGTATGATGGACTCGTTGTCATCTTGATACCACTAAATTGTGATTAGGATATAGTTTGGGTTCTCTAGGCTCTGACTATAAAAGGACATATGTCAGTGAGGTGGTTGCTTGGAGGAATAATGGTGGTCCAACAAAATAATGATAGATTTGATGGTAGTCATAAACTACCAAAAACAAGGATAGCAACATACAAGTAATAATGGTGCTGGTAGAGGCAAAGTGGAGTGATCAAGTAGAGATGAAGGAATAGACTCGTAGGACATTTGGTTACATGGGCATAATTTTTACCAGTGTTTAACATTTAGGTTCGCTTTTCGTTTGTCGCTTAGCTATGCCCATCCCTAGGTATATATAGAGGCATTAATAATAGTGATGGTGGTGGCCATCACTACCGGAGACTGTGTATTTACCGAGTGCCCCGACAATTACCGAGTGTCAAAAGTCGGGGCACTCGGAAAAAAGTACTTACCGAGTGCCAACACTCGGAAAACATAAACACCCGGTAGTCAACCGCTTTACCGAGTCAGCTGGTGTCGATGAGAAGATGTGGGTATCAATGTTAGACACTGGCCGGTAAAAACTATATATGGAGGAGAGTACGTGACGATAAAGATTGGTGGATGATCCAAGGCAGGGTTGAGAATTTTTAGTTATGGACATCTTGGTGATTTCATTTCTTGTTTGGATGACAAAGATAGGTAATTTAATAGCAAGTTTAAGGGTTACTTAAGTTATCTTTCATGGTGTAAACTTATGAGTTTATGTATGTTTTTTCATACTTGAAGAAGTGGGTAATTCTTTTTAGAAAATAGAATATACCCACTGATTCCATTATTCTATATAATATTTAGAGTTGATTGAATTAGTGCTAAGATATTCCTAAATTGCCGTGAGAATTTCTAATATTTATGATTTTTTTTCTAATAATACAGTTAGAGACCCTGTTTTTGGCCTTCGTGGCCCACAGCGAACATAGTATATATAGCATACTTTATCACTATCGAATGAGTTTTCTATAAATCACTATTAAATGAGTTTTCTATAAACATATATAGTTTGTAGTATATTGTCAAGCACTTGTGTACTATATATCACCAATTAGTAACCTGTGTTCCCACGAAACGTTAAAATGAGAATCAAATACAATTGACAATACTATCAGTATTTTACAGAGCCTTAACCTTTAGCTCGCCCGGTCCCTGATGACGAGCAGATTTGCGTAACACATGACACAGACTCACTATTTAAACTGCGGCTTCAAACTTACGTGCAGTAAAATCATCGGAGCTCGCGCCTACAACCAAGGATCCAGCTCTGACCAGTCGCCACTAGATGACGTGGGCCACGGCAGCCACACGGCATCCACCGTGGCAGGACGAGCGGTGGCCAACGTCAGCTTTGAAGGCTTGGCCGCCGGCACAGCTCGTGGCGCGGTGCCGGGCGCCAGGCTTGCCATCTACAAGGTGTGCCAGGAAGGGGAATGCAGCGATGCCGACATCCTCGCGGGGTTTGACGACGCCATCGCCGACGGCGTGGACGTGATCTCCTTCTCCATCGGCAGCGCGTTCCCATCTGATTACTTCAGGGACGCGCAAGCCATCGGCTCCTTCCACGCCATGAGGCATGGGGTGCTCACGTCCGCGGGGGCCGGGAACGCGGCGCTGCACGGCGGCCATGTTTGCAACGTCGCGCCATGGATGCTGTCTGTGGCGGCGAGCAGCATCGACCGTCAATTCATCGACAAGATTGTTCTTGGGAACGGAGAGACCGTAGTGGTCAGCCCTGAACCCTAACTTTACACTAGCTATGTCCTTATATATTTTTTCACAGAAATCAGTATTTGAATAAAAGGGCCAACCATGGCTACTGTTTTCTTCTATTATTGCAGGGAGTCTCCATTAACACCTTTGCAACGATAACAAATGCCACACTTGCATTCCCCGCCCATGGGTAAGACGATGACAATGACATGACATATATACTAGTGTGTGTGAGTTCATGACAGTGTCTATATTATATATATACATATATATTACACATATTCAACGTGCATGGATGTGAGCGTTTTGAAAAACACGAATTTTGTCAAAATTTATATCAATAAGTTCAATACCTGCACAAAGCTAACATAAAAAAAATCAAGCATTAATTCGGAATGGTGCCAGCATTGCCTAGCTAGTGTTTATGTTTTTTTTTTTTTGCTACAAAAAATGTAGGTTCTGTGATCCAGAGAACCTCGCCGGACGTCATTACGAAGGCAAGATCGTCCTCTGCTCCCTCCAGACCGGCAGCTCTGCAGGTCCTCTCTTGGGCGGTGCAGCAGGTGTCGTCTTGGTCACCCATGAGCCCGACATCGCTTTCAGTCTGGCTCTCCCAGGTCTCACGGTAACTCAGGACAAGTTCCACCAAATCATGGCGTACGTCAACAGCACTAGGTGAGCTCACTGAAAATAGATTGCCACATTCATGTTCAATTGTCTCAAACTAATCCTGGTCTGTTTTTGTAGTAATCCTGTGGGCACCATAGACCGCACCGAGACTACGGTCAATCCACAAGCTCCGGTGCCCGCCTCTTTCTCTTCTCCAGGCCCCAACTTTATCACCCCTTCGATCTTGAAGGTGCCTAATAATGTTCACGAACATCTCTCGTCATTTCACGGAAATGTTGCAGTTAAAATGTTCTAAAGAGAAATCTGTACAACGTTCAAATGCGTGTAGCCTGATCTGTCTGCGCCGGGGGTCGACATCATTGCCTCATGGTCGCCACTGTCATCACCCTCGGCCAATCCTAACGACACGAGGAAGGTTCAGTACAACATCATCTCCGGCACATCCATGGCATGCCCGCACGCGAGCGGAGCTGCTGCGTACGTCAAGTCGCTCCACCGTGACTGGTCGCCGGCGATGATCATGTCGGCTCTCATCACCACCGGTACGTACGACGGCGTAAACCATCTTTTCAAAGATCGATTCCATTCCATATCCGATAGAGTTCGGTATCATATCCATTAATGTGTTCATCTTGTCAGCATATTATCATATCGCAACGCATGGTGCTCTATGTGTATGCAGCCACTCCGATGAACACACCGGGCAACTCCAACACGACCGCGCTCAAGTACGGCGCTGGGCAGCTCAACCCGGTGAAGGCCCACGACCCGGGCCTAGTGTACGACGCATCGGAGAGCGACTACGTGGCTATGCTGTGCGCGCAGGGGTACAACACCACGCAGCTTGCACTCATCACCGGCTCCAACACGACAGCCTGCATCAATGGCTCGACGTCCGGCTCACCCAGCGACCTCAACTACCCGACCATGGCGTTACTTGTGGAGCCGGGCAAGAACTTCACCGTGGTCTTCCCGCGGACTGCCACCAACGTTGGGCCCGCAAGCGCCGTGTACGATGTGAAGGTCGTGTTTCCTATTGAGGCGGCCAATGACCTCACCATTGATGTGTCGCCGAGCAGACTAGAGTTCAGCGCGCAGGGCCAGAAGGTCTCGTTCGCCGTGACGGTGTCTGGTGTGGCGATGGAGGACGGCAAGGTGCACTCGGCCGCCATCGTGTGGTACAACAACGAGCATGAGGTGAGGAGCCCGGTGCTGGTCTACACAACATCTTATGGCTCCCAGCCTCCCAGCAAAATGGGGTTTAGACAGTGAAGGAGCTGCCATCCAGGGCTTGAGATTTGTGCAATGGTCTCAGAATAAAACTTCCTTGTTTGGACCAGCAATAAATGGGATTTGCAAAATTTCAGGTGCCTGATTTTAGTTTTATTTCAAGCGATGGTTATTGCATATATTTTATACTAAAATTGCAGTTTTAGTTCGCTGTAATTTCTGTAAACACAATCTGCAATCTTTTGTTCCCAGAATAAAAAACCAATTAGACAAAACCACAAACCTAACAAAATCTAATATATGTTGGTACAAAGACAATTTAATAATTTACAATTATTTCTATAGTCAGACAATAATAAAAATTTGATATGTTATGAAACAAAGTAAATAACAAACCACAAAAGTGACAATTTACTTGTACTAATTGGTAGTACATGAATGTTGTTTGAAATCATCTAAAAATTCAGGCACCTGACATATAGAAAATGTGGCAGAAAATAGATCAACTTCCGAAATCTCTGCACTTTAACTAATACGAAGCCACTCATGCTGTATTCTGACCCTTCAATTTGACATCAAGATTTCTGGCTCCAAAAATGATCTATATATGGAAACCTGTCATATGCTATATCACGAGTCCAAACAGATTTTGGTCGCACTCGCTTTCCGACATGGCAGTCCCGGCCAGGCCCCATCGGCCATCACATCGCGTGCGCCACGCCCACCCTGCCACCACCTGCCTGTGCCAGGCCACCGTGCTATTGCACACCTCATCCTCCTATCGACATCAGCTTCTTCTTCTCCGCTTTAAGTGTTGCGAGCACTACAAGATCAAGGCGGAGGGACACAATCTATTCATCGGTTGGGCCAATAGTAGGTTTGTGAACATCTATGATGAAAAATTTATGACGAGCCAAAATCATGTCTGACAGACCAAGATGCTAAGAGTTCCTCAAAAAGCCGACTGCCCGGCATGGAGATGGGCTAGCCCACGGACTGCTATGAAGGCGTGGGACAAGATGGCGTGACTTCCTCAGCAGGTAAACTGACCTAATCTCACATAAAGAAAGTCTATCTTTGTAGTAGGATTAGTGTTGAGGATACAGTGTATGAGCTTGACTCAGGAACCGCTAGAACCAGCGCGTGGTGACCGCGCTCACCAACAGCACACGACGTGCATAGACTAGGACAGTTGCTGAAGATAGCAACCTCCATTTGTTGTACTATATATACATTCAATTGAGATCAATACAAAGTG